TCACTTAAGGGGGTGAAAATGGGGATGTAAGTTTGTATGGGAAATCAAGCTAGAGTGCATCGCTAGTGTTAATTAATGTAATACAGAGTTCTTTTATTTTTCAAATTTAAAATATAACCTACATACAAAATTAAATGTACTATAAGTATGTCTAAATTGCAATTACGTTAGTAATATCAACTTTGCCGTATTATATTTTCGTTCAGTGACCGTAACGTGTGCAATTTCAAAGTAACAGTTAACTAGTACTGTAATTTCGTGCTTAGTGGCATATTGTGCACAGTTGCCACTTATTAATAAAGACCAGTCGACTAAGCAGCTGCGACTTGGAAAAATGCATTTAATAATATTTTTACCCGGTATAGTAAATAAATAGCTTAAGAGAGTGCAACTACTAAGTTTTTCTCATTTATCTTAACATTTCCTGCGCATTACAACTTAATTCCTTGAAATCTTTTAGAATAATTTATTTCTATATTATTCAGATGACTTCAAGACTCCTATTAAGCATTGTGGTGTAGTTTTGCAGTACATTTTAGTTATTTGTTTTGTGCTATTTTTTTTAAATTATATTTGACTATTAGTGTGTTGTAGAAGTAATACCGCAGAAAAAGAAGAAATTGGAAAGCTATTCTTATTATTATGGAGGAGTCTGCTTTATAAATATCTACTCATATCTCTGTATTTATTATTTATCTTCAGGAACCAAAAGATATACTATATTAAGTAACTTATCCTCTTTTATCCACATATCATGAGAGTGGAGCTAAAAAATATATCTTCGATTGTTATTTAAAGTATATGTTTTTTTTTAATTTATGTGAACATTCATTTCTGTTCTAATTTTGTTTCTTTCTTGTTTCAGGTAATGGATACACGAACATGGACATACTAATAATAACGTCGGTAGGTCGAGAAATCGCCAAAATTAAATTCTACTCAGAAATACAGGATGTTATGTTTGCTACAAAATCAAATCAAATTAATAATCTTGTATGACATTAAATATTATAATAGGGCTTTAGGGTAATTTCGTCACAGAATTGGACAAGCGATGTGTAAACACAGTCGGAATATTTGGAGCGTGCTTAAACACGGCGTCAAATGTGATAAATGTCTTTTCAAAACGCGGTTGAATTCGGTAACAAATTATATTCTATCCGAGTAGTGCAGGTATTCAGATTTCAAGGATTTATTACGCTTGGAATTGGAGGGACGCCGCTCAAATGCTGGTAGAGCAAGTTTGTGGCGGCACTGTAAAAACTTTTCCCATAGATATGAAACAGAGAAGCTTTGATAAATTATATTTTTCAAATCCTTACGTATAAAATACAAAATGTATGTGTTTTTATAGGTTATTTTTATTTATATTGCAATTTATATAATATGATAAAGGTACATAACGGTTAAATGTGTCTTAAACATAAAGTAAAACATGATAACGATATATAATTACAATATATTATCACTAGGAAATGATTTTACGTATACTATTTCTTCTTTTACAGAGAATGCAATTATCATAAATTGGTATTTTTTCTATATGTAATTCATATCTATTATCGTTATATTAAGAAATTATCCACGTTAAAAGTATTCTTTATAATCCGTGCAAAAGTTTAATTAAGATAAAACAGGATGGACTCTAATTAACATATTAACATGTTCATTTGGGCTATAAACAGTTTGAGAGAACGTAATTCAATTGTAAATTCCATCTAAACGACCGTCTAGTTAACACTGCACCCGTACGTTAGACTCATGGAGTCCAACTTATCAAAGTTGCTCTGCTCCATTGTACCGCATACATAGTACTAGCTTCATATTGAACGTGTTACAACTAGGTTATTCATGTCTCATACGTGGACATGAAAATTTTCAAGTTAAAGTTTGGATGTTATAGAATCATGCGGTTATAAACTCTAAACTTTTTTGTTATGTTATATATAAAAATGATATTATATGAAGTACCTATATAAAATGTAGAACTATATAATTATTAATTATATAACACTGCCTTAGTATTCGTTTGTGTACACGTATTATTTTATATAAATTATTATTCATTAATGTGTAAAAACAAAAAGCAAATATAATTTAAAAACACGCTGCTACGTGCAATCTCTACTATAATTCGTAGCAATCTCTACGAATGTAAGTTCAGATTTATTCGTCATGGCCGTCGCGTAAGCCACGAGGAAAGCACGCGGCTTCTAGTGTACGCATGCGTAGAACAGCGGAACTGAGTAGGCGATTGTATAGGAATGAGGAGGGGGCAGAGAGTACTCCCTCACTCCCATTCCACATCTCGTGGCGATATTAAATTGTCGTACTTTACACAGTCCAAGTATGTCCTGTCTTTAGATAATCAAAGAATTAAAATACAATTTGTGATTTTAGTCTGATAATTATTATGTAAATGTGAGCGTTAAGTTCATTCAACCATAAGAGGAATTGCTTGCAATCCTTTTAATAGATTAATCGTTTTTTTTCTTGATACTTGATATGGTTAATTGTATTAATTGATCACTCACACCTTTCACTATAAGGCTTCAGTGTATAATAATAGTAGGTTTTAGCTAAGTATAGACACGTAGTATATACACGTTCGTACGACAGTATATACACGTTTTTAGGAATGTAGCTCCAAGCAAAATTTTAATTTTTAATATATATATATATATATATATATATATATATATATATATATATATATATTATGCTCACTACAAGTTAAAACTCGACCGTAATATTGTTATGTCCAAATTGTCTCTTTTAGTAAAATACTACGTGCCTCGTCATAATTAGATATCTATTAAAAAAAAAGTTACACGAATAGCTCAGTAGAATTTTAATAAGAATACCTCAATTTTTGGTATATATAAACATTATTTAACAATATATTATTTTTTAAATGTAAATTCAGTCACTTGTAGTTTGTTAGCATAGCATCTGTCAAACTATGGTAATTAACATTAGCTCTTATTGATCTATGGTAATGGACATGTTTTGCTACGTTTTATGGTTTAGTTGCTAGTTTTCACAAGATCTTTATGGAGAAAACTGTTTTTATCTGGCTACTCTAGATTATCAATGAGATTGGCGAGAGGCCAACATATGACTATGGGTACCGGAGTCTGCTTAGGCGGGGTAAGAATATTTTTATTAGCTGGCGTGAAATTCTATTTATTGTTGTTATAAAATTGAAAATGATAAGGATATTCTATATTATTTTATATTTTTTTTTAAATACAAATATCATTTATTACAAGTAATATGGCATTGTTTTAGTCATGGCATTATATATTTGACTAATTCATATCATTATGGGTATCTATACTAATATTATAAAGACGTAAAGATTGTGAGTTTGTGAGGTTGTGAGTTTGTGACGTTGTATGGGGTAATCTCGGGATTTACTAAACCGATTTAGATGAAATTTGGTGAGAAGATAGTTTGAGATCTTGGGGGGACACAAGGATACTTTTTATCCCGGACATCATCCCTTAAGGGGGTGAAAATGGGTACGAAAGTTTGTATTGGGAAGCAGGCTGGGGCGAATCCGAGCGAAGCGAGGGTGAGTCGCTAGTAGCATAATAATTATATATCTCTGTATTTACTTACATGTCTAAAAGTAAAATATATAACTTTTGGTATTTATTTACAAATAATAACAATATAAGAACTACATAATATAAATGTTTACAAACTTTAGGTTGAAGTCTTGGCGTTTCTCCAAAAAGTGATAGAGTTGGATGCATAATCTATTTCAATATTTTTGTTACCAGGAAATTTTACTTTACATGTTAAAATAAAAAAAAAACCTTTTAATGCTTATTTGAGTTATTATGGCAATCTTACTCTTAAAATGAATTATTATTAAAATAAAATTAATATAAAAATTGCTTATTTACGTAAAAAATATCTTCATCTGCTATAGAAAAGGCGATGACGAGATACTGATTTTTTAATCTTTTACTGTTTCAAAGAGACAAAGAGTTATTCGTTTGTTTGTATTTAGGCCATCATTACTAGTTGTACTATACCGATTTAAAAAAATCCTTTATAAGTCTAGAGCTAGAATATGCCTGCATTTTGCAGGTTTATTTATTAACGTATTATTCAAGCGCGGTAGAGAATTCAAATCAAAAAAATACCGATTATTACTAAACTTATATCATAAAGGGGCATTAATAATTTCTTCATGAGATCTAACTTTATTCTTCTTCTCCTTCTTCCTGCCCATTTCCCAATCACTTGGGGTCGGCGCAGTACATCTTCTCTACTGCTGATAGGATTTGGCAAAAGTGTTACGACCGGCCGCCTGCCTGACGTCAACCCTCCTTGAGAATGCTATTGTTTCTCTTTGTCTGAATGGTGTCGCGGAAGTCTTGTAATAGGTATGCACTTTCGATTTTTTTGTCTTTTCAAACGTTTTTTATACTTAAATTTTTAAATGTTATTTTCTGATATATTTTAAAATAAATTTTGATAACACAATAAATTTTGTTTTGACGTTGTTCATTTTTTTTATCTAACTTTATTATAAACAGAAATTAAGTTAATTAACATATGAAATTGCGCGAAATTGCGTATTAACAAAGAAAATATTTAATATAAGTATTACATAAATAACCTTACTCGGTATTGGTTTTTATTAGACTTCATAGTGATAAGGAAACATTATAAGATCCTCGTGTTCAGTTGTGTGTGAAATAGCTCCTGAAACTGAAGTCGGCGAATAGGATTACAGCAAACGTCGGATTTATTACGGATATAAGTAAATCCCGTAGGACAAGGGATACCACATATTGGAGCCTATGACAAAAATAGTTTTGTTTGTGACTTTTGACTTATGGAATCACGATATTTATGTAACATATTGTTTCTTTTGGCGATTTCTCTGACTCAATAATTATATTAAATGTAATTTAAGATTTAGCATATTGTTAGCTCTATTTTATTATATCTATTTGTGGTCATATAGTATTATAAATTTAATGTTTTCCTTTGTATATTTTCATGCTACCCATCTAGTGGCTCTAAAATGTAAGTATGCAAATCTTATTCTTTAACAGGTATTATATACTAAAAAAATAGCTTTTGATGACATGTAATTCAATTTTATTGCTCATTAGTACGATTATCGCATTTCACTGATGACTTTATCGATAATTGAATCTTACTTAACGAGGTCTATTTACCGGAGCCTGATACATTATGCTATCAGAGTACCGCCCTAAATTCAGAAGCATTGAATTTTATACAATGTAATGGATACTAGGCATAGGAATATTACAATAAGGCGTAGAGTTTTTAATGGATTTTCACCGCATACAGTGTGAATGGTTCTCAGAGGAAAGTTGTAGCGAAGTAAGAGTTTAATTACAAAGTAGGACATACGAGGGCGAGCATTTGGCCCGATAAGCGAAAAATAGCGAATGTTCCACATCGACCATATATCGTATTATTTTACGCTCACAAAAGGCAATGTACTTGTCTCAGGGAAGCAATTTTCCGTGATTCAGTTGATTTAAATAGGTGTATTATGAAGGTGTTTTTAATTATTATCTACCCATTAAGGTTAAGTATATTCCAGCTTTTTATTTTACTTTTAATGTTTGAAGTTCAAACAAGTTTAAATTGTCATATCAAGTCACATTACTGAATGATGCAGGTTTGACCATTTAATGTTTATAGCAATAATATATCTAGTTTAGATAGAAAGTGGATTTTGGCTTCCGCCATGCTAAATTAAGTCATGTCATATTTGATTTGCAAGATATAGAAAGAAACTTCCACTTATAAGAATATTCTACTAAATCTGATTATGAAAATGTGCACATCACATTAAGTCTAATATAAAATGTGTTTTACTTACAATACTATGTTTTAAAAGGATCTTTGAAAACGATACGAGTATACCTCTTTTTGCTTTTTTCTAAGTCATCATTATCTTCAAACAAAGTAAGAGTAAAATGTACAGAATAAAAGATACTTGCATGAGCACTTAAAATCATAGTGTATTAGGTCATTTTTTTTAATATAGTGCATATATAATAATACTAGCATTGCTCGCGGCTCCGCCCGCGTTCAGATTACCAAAAACCAAATTCTTAGGTTTTACATATTAGTATACTCTTACAATGAAGTTTTTGTATTTTTTCTCAGAAATGAGATATTTTTCCGCAATAAAAAGTATCCTATATGTTGACCCGGATAACCAGAGTACGACCATACCAAATTTCATCAAAATCCCTTTAATAGTTTTTCTGTGATGCGGTAACAGACAGACAGACAGACAAAAATTCTAAAAACTATAAATCCGGCCTCTGTATCGATAATAATGTTTATTTCAATAAGATTTTCCAAAAAATATTTAATGTACAGATTCGGATGTTACAATTTTATTATATGTATAGATGATAACAGTATCTACTGTTTTTATAAATCATATTCGTTAAATTACAGACACGGACAACCAGCGGGTAATTATTCACGTGAAGGACGTGAACGATGAACCTCCGTACTTTATTAACCGACCTCTGCCAATGCAAACTGTTGTGCAACTTAATGCGGCACCCAACACCCCCGTCTTCACGTTGCAAGCCAGAGACCCTGATACTGATCACAATATACATTACTTTATTGTGAGGGATAGAACTGGTGGAAGATTCGAAGTGGATGAGCGATCTGGAGTGGTTCGAACAAGGGGTACTGATCCTTTTCAACTCGATATGGAATATGTACTGTACGTCAAGGCAGAAGATCAGGTGAATATTAATAATAATTGGCGTAATCTTTTTTTTTTCTACAAATAATATAGCTGAATAGATAGAAACAGTTTAGAGCGATATTATAAAAATATGTTTATTTATTTTGCCTCCATGGTGAATATATCAAAAGTTTGAAGTTTTTGGTTAATAATATTTCTCTAGCGTATAAATGTATGTTTTGTATGTATATTGTATACGCTAGTAAATAGTCGGTTTACTAGATAGTTTTTTCTTAGAGATCTCATATGAATTAAAGGAATTCTTTGTCAAAATGTGAACTATGATATGATCCAGTGATCGCTTGGGCGACAGTAGATTATCCCTATAATCGAAATATCGGTCAGAATAGCACAATAATATATCTGCTTATTATAAACTTTATGTACTATTTAATTAAATATTATGAGCGCAATACCGTAGTAGTAAAGATTGTAGAAAAATGTATTTAATAAAAGCAAGCTGTAAGAAAACAAATTACATTTTCTTTAGAATTTATGTTTATTTACGATTTATGTTGATGTTTATTAAATTCAGTGTGCTAATGCAATATGAATTAAATTTCAGAGTGGCCGGGTGGATGAAAGAAGATTCCAATCTACTCCTGAGGAGAGATTAAGTATCGTCGGTGGGAAACGCGCGCCTCAGTTTTATTTGCCTAGTTATGAAGCTGAGATAGCGGAGAATCAGAAGAAAGATTCAGAGTAAGTAATTATTCAAATTTATTTATCTTGTAAAAATTAACAAAACACGTGATTTTGACTTGGATATAACGAGACGAAGATGTTTATTCATAAAAATGATTATGGTATATTTTTTTTGTAAAAACATTTTGTAAGGTTATATTTTTATATATAATCGTTTTATTGGAAAATAATATATTTGAATAATTCGTCATGATTTATGTATATAGACCTTAGCCTATAGGAATGTATAAAAAAACGCGGATATTCATTTGTTTTCCCGCGCTTTTTTTGTACGTAGATGTCGGTACCACCTTGTAGTCACTAGTCATGAATTGTTTGTAATACTGTAAATTATTATTATAAATTACGTAACTCATTGTTTAAAAGTGTAACTGTTGAGTTTCTCGCCGGCTCTTCTCATCCGAACTGCTTTCCGAGCCGGTGATAGCTTCAACACGGACAGACGTACTTCTACTGACGATCATAAAACAATTAATTTGATGTTGAAAAAGCACTGAATATAAAAATATATGCAAGAAATATCTCGAAGTTTTATTAGTGTCAGGATGACACATTTATTCGTATTTATATCAGGTAGGTTACCTATATACTAATAATTATCTCAAACATAATCAATATTTAATTTATCTTATAGGAAATCATATGCGAAATATGATAACACAATATATTGTCCCGATTTTGAACTATTAATCATGGCATTAAATTGTATTAAGCTTTTCCGTAAATTATATATATATATATATATATATATATATATATATATATATATATATATATATATATATATATATATATATATATATATAAAAGAACGAAAAAGTCTATTATAATTTATGATTTTTTTTTATTTTCACTGCACCTTGACGTATCTAGATGATCTATGTAGATTTATTTTTTTCTACCTTTACACAATTCTGACCTAAATTATGAGATGTAACAAATGTTACGCGCAATTCTATGTACTAGCGACCTCATAAATTTATTCTCCAAATTAAATATCGTGACGAGTCAAACAATTGAGTTCATTTGAAATTAAAAGTAGGCGATGTCAATTTACATGTTCATTTCTCTTGTTTTAGAAAACTAAATATGCATAAACTTTGTCCCACGGGCTTTATGTATCATATCAGATATAGAATTATAAGTATTTTAAGTGTTATATCTATATATGTATTTATGGATGTAGGTACTTCTACTATAGTCTCTCTAATCAAATAATGAGTTTTTGACATTGGCATTTGAACGTTTTTATCTTTGTTGGTATGAAAAATGTCGAAATCGAGCGAGCATCTTAATAAGTAAAAAAAAGAAAATTATTTTAGGACTAGAATAGTATAGTAGTTTACTCTATAGTTTGAGGATTGGGAAGATTTATTCTTTCTGAAGATAAGCAAGTAAAAACAGAACAAATGAACCGTACATATTTAGGCTGTTTGTGTCGTGCTTAATATGGGATGTAGTTATTATAAAATTTTGAAATAGTATTTCTTAAAGTTTTTCTTAGGTCTGCAAGTAGAGTACTTATTTTATTTAATGGTAGGTACCATTAAATAAAATAAATATTAAAAATATGTTGTACCTATTATTTTTAAACAGTAAGATCGATCGAGTTTCTATTAATTTTATGAATGTTAATGACAATTTTGTGTTGTGAGTTGAATTTGAATTTACATGAGTGTCTAATAATATGACATAATGATGAATACGTTTATAATTTGGAGTTACATAGCTTGCATATAATTTGTATTTGATCAGTGTTATTACAATAATTATGTGAAATACGCTGTCTTGTATTAGAAGAACTGAAATAAATTAAATACTTGATCATACATTTTTATGTATTTATTATTAATTACATATATGTATATACAAGCTACGAAGTCAGTACCAAGTTTTTAACGAATTTTTAGTCTGTCGGTCCTGTCTTAACATAATTAATTTAATATAAAATTTTATATTGATTATACTTAAACTAACCAAATGAATATTAATTCATTTCAGTATTATTTCTGTAAAAGCAAAATCATTTGCTGATCGCGAAATCCGCTACACCCTAAAGGCGCAAGGTCAAGGTGCTGGTACATTCAATATCGGACCGACATCAGGCATCGTCAAGTTGGCCAAGGAGCTGGACTTTGAAGATTTACGACAGCCTCATGTTTATTCCTTAGTAGTAACTGCTACTGAGGACTCTGGAGGATTTTCCACATCTGTAGAGGTAATTATATATTTTAATTATTGATTTTTGTGTTGACAGTACGTTTGGCTCAGTTTGTAGTGACCCTACTTCCTATGCCAGCTGTCGCGGGTTTGAGTCCCGCTGGGGGCATTCGTTTGTGTGATGAGCACGAATGTTTGTACTCCAGTCATGGGTGTTTATATTTATAATTATCAACTATCTGGTATCCATAACACAAGCCTCGTAGCTTACCATACATAACTAGATAGCGCTGTGCGTTAATGTCCCAAAATATTTATTTATTAACAAACTTTCGCTACCATCTTTGCTCTCTATATATTATGGAGTTGAGACCACGATATGCTAATTAACACTCCGGATGTTATTTTCATAACCATTCTCTACATGAAACACATGGCGTTAATAGTTTGATTTATACTTGGTACTTATGATTAATGTAATTATTCCATATTCATGCTAAGTTTTATAAATAGCAAAATGTTTTGACTTCTAGGTACCTATAGAATAGTGGAGAAATCTGTCACTGTACAATGAATTCTAAAACTCATTTTGCTGCCTTTAGTGGGTTTTATTTGTAGTTATTTTTAAATCTCGGCATTGATGACGTAATACAATCCAAGTATAGATACCCCACGCGATACAAATAAATTAGGCTGTTCTAAATTTGGCTATTTTGATTAGGTTTAATTTCGCAAAATCTGCTGGGTTGACATGACTATTTTATTGTATAAAACTTGTCGAAAAACAAATTTTGCTTATCATGACCATTTGAAAATAGAATAAACAATAAAAAGAAAATGTAAACAGCGCCATCTATGAATATACAGTAGAAATATAGTATAAATAGTATTTTTAATCAAACTTTTCAATCAATCTTAAACTAAAAGTAAGCACATTTGATTCAAGAGCCAATTATTTTACTTCACTTTGGTTAAGATGCTTCTTTGAAGTTAGATTAAATTAAAAAAAAAAAACTATTTTTGATGATAAGTTTTATGAAGATCAAAAATTTATCTGTACATATATTCAACAATCAATGATATAACATATTTAAACTATTTTTTTCTTTCATCCTAGACCTTATGCTATAGGGTTCTACATTTTTCTAGAGCCAGTATAGATCAGAGATAAAATTTATCTTATATGTTGAACCGGATAACCAGCTATCATCACATCAAATTTCATCAAATCTGTCCAGTGGTTTTCTCGTGATGCGGTCACGGACCGACAGACAAAAATTCTAAAATAGATATATAATAATTAGTATTTTCCAAAAAATATTTAATGTACAGATTCGACCCAGGTAGTATTTTATAATGATCATCGATCAGCACGACTTAAAGCACTAATAGAATCAGCCAACTTCCATGTACTTCCTTTAACTGCGACTCACTTTTTCCCTAATTGCAATCCATCCTTTTTAGATTTAATTTTAGTTTCTTCCATTGACCACGTTGATAAACATGGTCAATGCAATGCTACTGCATTCTCTTACCACGATCTTATTTTTCTCTCTTATAAACTTAAACCTCCTAAAGCAAAATCAAGAATCCTTCTCCAACGTAATTTTGCGGGAATGGACCTAGATCGTTTGCGCGAAGATGCTTTAAATATTGATTGGACTGAGGTTTTAAATGCAGAGACTATGGACAACCAGATTGATACATTTAATTCGCTATTGACACAATTATATGATATTCATGCGCCTATTAGACCTGTACGTACTAAACATCTTCCTGCACCCTGGCTTACTGTAGACATTAAAAAGCTTCAAGAAAAGAAAAACATTGCTAAAGCTAAATTAAAAACTAATGCAAGTGATATCAATCGGCAAAAATATGTTAAAGCTAGAAATCATTGCAATAGGGTGTGTAGGGATAGTCAACGACGCCATATTCATAAATCTGTTGTCGAAGAAGACAATACAGTAAAAGTCTGGAACTTTCTTAAATCTCTTGGAGTTGGAAAGGCAAAACAAAATATAACCTCCAAAAATATAGATCTAAATCAATTAAACAAACATTTCTCATCGTTCAGTACAATTGATAGTACAACTAAATTAAGAACTAAAAATCAAATTCTCGCTTTGGCCACTCCTGATTCTCCCATTTTTAAATTTAGTCAATTTACAGAATGTGATGTTCGGAAACACATAGTGGCAATTAACTCTGATGCGGTTGGCTCTGACTGCATTAGTCGTAAAATGATCGTTCCTTTATTAGATATATTGATCCCTGTCATAACTTCCATGCTTAATTTTTCTATTAATACTGGCTGTTTTCCATCCGCATGGAAAGATGCTCAAGTAATACTTTTACCAAAAAAAAAAACAATCCCACTACTTTCTCCGACTATCGTCCTATTTCCATTCTACTCTTTTTATCCAAAGTGCTCGAGCGCCTTGTACATCATCAACTAAGTAATTTCCTTTCAAATCATAATCTACTGAATCCTATGCAATCCGGCTTTCGTTATGGTCACAGCACGACTACTGCACTCGTTAAAATAACAGATGACATCAGACTAGGAATGGAAAATCAACAAGTCACAGTTTTGACACTATTAGATTTTAGTAACGCTTTTAACACTGTTGATTTTGATATTCTTCTTGCTACATTGTGTTCTCTTAACATATCTCCAGATGTGATTGACTGGTTTCACAATTACTTGTATGGTCGCCGGCAACGAATCCGTATTCACGATTCTTGCTCTGAATGGATTTCGCTACATGCCGGTGTTCCTCAAGGTGGCGTGTTGTCGCCTCTTTTATTTTCTATATTTATTAACTCTCTCTGTAACTATATTTCTTCTCCCTACCACCTCTATGCAGATGATCTACAAATCTACCGCCAAACGACCGTATTAAACTTAACTCAAACCATCGATCATATTAATACTGACCTACTTAATATTTCGCAAAAAAGTAAATCATTAGGCTTAATAGTGAATCCAGGTAAAACACAAGCTATAATTATAGGTAGTTCAAAATTAAAATCAAAAATATCTTTATCACAATTACCACCTATTATGCTTGACGGTATACAAATTCCTTACAGCGATAAAGTGAGAAATCTAGGTATTATATTGGACGAGACATTATCTTGGAAGTCACAGGTGGGCGAAGTGAGCAGAAAAATGTTTGCTGCCGTTGCATCATTACGTCGCTTACGCAACTTTCTACCCATTCCCACTGAAATTGCCTTGGCTAACACTCTTTTATTACCAATTCTTGACTATGCTGATACTTGTTACCTCGATTTAAGAGAGGAACAGTTAAATAAACTTGAGCGAATTCAAAATCTCTGCATTCGGTTCATATTTGGACTTCGTAAATATGACCACGTTTCCGAATTTCGTAAAAAGCTCAAGTGGCTCCCTATCCGTCTTCGCAGAAATACTCACGTTCTTTGTCTTTTATATAATATTCTATTTAATCCCTGTACACCTCAGTATCTTAAAGATAGGTTTAAATTATTAAGTGATTCTCACCATTTTTCTCTTCGTTCTAACCTTAATCTAACTTTACAAGTTCCTTCACACTCTTCTTCCTTCTATACTCGCTCCTTTACTGTCCAATCTGTCCGTCTGTGGAACTCGTTACCAAATAAAGTAAAACAGGCTGATTCGCTGTCACTATTTAAAAAATTAATAAATGAATATTATCTTAACTTATAAGTGCTAAATGGTGTCATATTTTATTTTATATGTATAATGTATATATGTGTGTATGTATGTATGTATGTATGTATGTATGTATGTATGTATATATATGGTATATATGTATATATCTGTTTGTATATGTATGTATTTATTGTATCTCTCTTTAAGATTGTTTGCACCCCTTCCTTCTCTCTTGTTTCTCTCTACCCAAAGGTTGCCTAGAATAGATCGCTCTCTAGCGATAAGGCCGCCTATTGTACTATATTCCTTTAATCTGTTTCAACTATATAATGTAAAATAATGGTGTGCAATAAAGAATATTTCATTTTTTCATTTATATGTATAGATAAATTTAATTTCTCATTTCAGCTGACAATTCGCGTGACCGACGTAAACGACAACGCACCTAAATTCGAGCTGCCCGACTATCAAGCGCACAACGTAGATGAAGACATTCCACTTGGCACCAGCATCCTGAAGGTTAAAGCCATGGACGCTGATTCCGGGAAGAATGCCGAAATAGAATATTTAGTTTCAGGTAATAATGCATTTTATTATTTCATATTTTGAAGCCATTTTATTAGGTTTCTTTTTCAAATAATCATGTTATTGTTTGTGAACGGGGTGATTATCAAGTCTCTTGTATCCCAAGGGTACTATTTAGTGTTTGATGAAAAGTACCCAACCAGGGCTCGAAAACCCGTGCAATTTTTAAACTGGTTTTGTTTATTGACCGAAAGGCTTTTCGGTTTAAGGTTTCGGTTACGTTCTTTAACAGGTAAATCCGGGAGAACGGTTTTTGACGAATTTTGATTCCATGACCAAAACTAACCGGTTAAAATGAGTTTTTGTACGTTTACATTTGGCGCGTCTTTGCTAATAGTTAATGGCTTAGTAGAGAGATACATGTACTTTTCTTACTTATGAATGAATTAACCGATTTATTTCGGTATCAAAACGGAAATTCAACCTTTCTCTAAGAATAACCGTTAACCATTATTATTTCGGTTTAGTAAACCGTTTGTTTTCAATAACCGGTTATAGAACGTGCGATGAATTAACCATTACATTATCAAAATAAATCCTTTTTTTAAACCAGTTCCGAGCCCTGTACCCAGCCAAAGGATCTATAACCTACTTATCTAACAATATCACATTGAAATAATGACTGATATGACTGAAAGAAAGACAAACACGTTTTTGCATTCATAATATTCAAAATGTGGATAAAACTGATGAATTATTGGTGTAGATTACTATATCACTATGATATAATGTTTCAGTTTACATATTTTCATGAAATGTCGATTGTACGGTTGCAACGTTGCAAATAATTCTACACTTTCGTTCGGTATTTCTTATACAGCTTCGTATACAACTCGATTATATGCACTTTGTAATTAAAATAAGCTGAAATTGATGATGTTTTTTCTCAAGGGACTTTTCTTAACATTTCAGATGACCACTTCAGCGTGGACTCCAATGGCATTATCACTAACAATAAACAGTTGGACGCTGACAACAATAACGCGTATTATGAATTTGTGGTCACCGCTAAGGATAAAGGAGAACCTGCCAAAACTGGAACTGCCACTGTGAGAGTTTACACCAAGAACAAAAACGATGAAGAACCAAAGTTTTCTCAACAAGTGTACACGCCGAATGTCGATGAAAATGCTGGCCCAAACACTCTCGTTACTACTGTAGTTGCGTCTGATAAAGATGGCGATAATGTGCGCTTTGGATTTGTTGGTGGTGGAACTAGCTCGGGACAGTTCGTTATAGAAGAAATAACTGGTGTAATCCGTTTACATAATAAAGCGATATCGTTAGATAGGGACAAGTATGAGCTAAATGTTACCGCAATGGATGATGGTGCTTGCTGTGTCAATGGAGATGCAACTATACACACTTCCACTGCTGTAGTAGTCGTATTTATAACGGATGTAAACGACAATAAACCTATATTTAAAGATTGCCCGACGTATTTTCCAAAGGTGGAAGAAGGAGCCCCTAATGGTAGTCCAGTTATAAAAGTACATGCGACGGATGAAGATAAAGGAGTAAATGGTCAGGTTAAGTATTCTATCGTGCAACAACCGAATCAAAAAGGTACTAAATTCACCGTAGACGAAGAGACAGGAGAAGTGTCGACTAATAAGGTTTTTGATAGAGAAGGCGACGACGGAAAATTTGTTTCTGTGACAGTAAAAGCTACAGATCAAGGAGAGCCGTCTTTAGAAGGAGTGTGTTCATTTACGGTTGAAATAACTGATGTTAACGACAATCCCCCATTATTCGACAGACAAGTAAGTAACTTTGTAAATATTAAAGTAGCGTTTAAAGAATATTTGCATGTATTTTAAGCATGTTATTCATTAAGAGGCCATCTTTTAAATTTATCCTGATATCTTGCAGAAATACGTGGAAAACGTTAAACAAGATGCTAGTATAGGCACGAATATACTAAGAGTGTCGGCATCCGACGAGGATGCCGATAATAACGGAGCTATAGTTTATACTTTAAGCGCTCCCTATAATCCGGGGGATATAGATTATTTTGAGATCCAACCGGAATCCGGATGGATCGTTTTAAAGAAACCTCTAGACGTAAGTATGCTTTTTATCACGTAACGCGCGAGAAATTTTGCCGAGATGGATGCATGAAAGGGATCAACTTTACTATAAAGTTTGGTGGATGAATGCTACCTACAGGCCCTAGGATTCAATTGGCACGTACTTTAAGTTTGTTAACTGTAAATAGTTCTAAATTGGCCGCTGTAAATTGCTGTGGAGGGGTAATCCTGCCGCCCTGTGAGGAGTAGTTGTCCATCAGGCGGGCGCGGGGGGACTCGGGGCGGCGCCGGCGCTTGTTCTTCTTCAGCACGATTACTTTCAGTTGCCGCCAGCGCCGGCTCAGCACTAAGTCTTCGTTAAGATTTATTTCCGCAGCACCGTCTTGCATTGACTATCTTGAATAAGAACAAACTTGTGTATGATACTTATGGAGTAATACCGCTGTAAATATTTCACCGTTGATACCTATGTTTAGTTCTAAAACATGTACAGTTTCCGTAACAGCACTTCTGTATATTTCGCACATGACTAGTTTTTGAAATTTATTTTATTGTAATTTAATCGGTTGATTTGGGAAGCTTACGCTTTTACATACCTATCAGTATTATATGTATGTACATGTTTTGTTACTAATCTCTGATATTATTTTGCGGAGCGACTTCGCGGGGCCGGTTCGAGCCCGGCCCGTCACCTACCGGCCGTCCAGACGACTACTCATGCTACATGATATCATATTACTAGAATAATCATCATAATTATGAATTTTTTACAGGGTACCACTACTTATATAAATTTGTAAAAATGTTAGTTAATAACTGAGATGGTCAGATTGCCCGCGCGGCAATTTGGCCATCTGGCCAGTTGTGACATTATTCCTTCTGTGAAAGGGGCAACGTTCTCAAACCCAATTTGTACAGTAAACCGTAACGTCCATCGTTTGTAATATATTCATTACAATGAGTGTCGTTTTTAGTAGTCGTTACGAGGTCACTAAAACCTTCTTATGACAACCTGACCTTTCCGCCATGTCTTGTATGCAGAGCTGCATGCATTTGCCTGCTTTTTGTTATTTTACTTTAATTTTTTTAAATTAGTTTAGTTGATTTATTGTATAAAGTATAAATAATGTACAGTTTGTCTTTTTCCCTAATGTACAGACCGGAAATGTATAATACAGAAACGTATTATTTCCAATTTCTTTTCTTGCACCCTCTAACGTCGGCTACGACGAGCAAAGTGAGTAAGCTAGCACGAATGAAGCTAGCGTGGAAGCGGACGTCGTGAGTGAATCTGGAACATTTGTAATTAAATCTCAGTACCTTCCTTCTATCATTTAGTTTGGCTTAGTGGATGCGAGCGCGACGAATGTACGGCTTATTCGATGATTAAATATTAACACAACAGATATTATCTGAGAGCGATCTATTCGATTTATTTTTTTTAATTATTTATTAGCGACGATTATATGTTTATATTTGAGTTATGTTATGTTTTGTTTGTCCCCGCTGACCTCTGACCCGTGTATCTGTAGCGGGACAGGTACCGCCTGCGCGTGCGCGCGTCCGACAGAGGCGCCCCGCCCTCCTCCGCAGACGTGGACGTTGAGTTAGACGTGGTAGACAGGAACAATAAGCCCCCCATCTGGGACATGACCACGTATGGCCCCGTTCACATCAAAGAGAATGTCACAGTGGGTACCGTAGTGACCAGTGTGAAAGCCAGGTTGGTATACGGCAGCGGGCACCCGCCCGCCGCCCTTCTTAACACTACTAACGACGTGGTTTTGTCTGTTTCCATCGACTCTTTCGATAGCGAGAAACGTACAAGTTGGAGGCTATGGCTCAAGACAAGGGCTTCCCGCCCTTGTCCAGAACCGTGGAGGTCCAGATAGACGTAGTGGATCGCGCGAACAATCCCCCCGTGTGGGACCACACGGTGTACGGCCCCATCTACATTCGAGAGAATTTGCCCGTTGGTGCCAAAGTGGTGTCAGTTAAAGCAAGGTGCGTGTCTAACTGTTCGGCACGGGCACCGCACGCAGCCCCCTGCACGAGTGTGGCCGCCTCTCTTGTCATCACCGAAGTCGCCCCATTTATCTTCAGTACATTTACCAGATCTGCTTCTCAATGAGATCTTTTTGCACGTATATTAGCAAAATATGTGTAGAATTGGCGTATTCGATGTTGACAACACAGGCGAGCATGGTGCAGATAAGAGCGCCGCGAGCGTCTTCAATCATCGTTATTATTTGCCTCTCACATGGTGGTTTCAGTACGATGTAATGTTCTGTCCGTGAGCTGCAACTGCATTGTCACGTACACACGGTCTTTTTGAATTTCACATGCGTGCATTTAGTGGGTTCACTGCTTATGTGGAATGGGGTCACAGGGTGATTGCTCAAAAATATTTATATATTTACTACCTATTATATATAAAAACGATTGTATTTTTTTTAAATAAGTAATAAATATTTTTGAGTGAACAAAAAATAAATTTATTGAATGGTAGGTTTTATTATATTGACGAAGATACTCTGTGTCCATTACATTGTGCATGTAGGTATTTATGCATTATGAATCGTCTACGAAATTTCCAATGTTAACGAGATAATTTATAATATGTTATAGTTTATTTCACGTCTATGGCGTTATGTGTACGCATGGTAATATAATAATCGTATAGTAATTTATTATTTTTTCCATTCGTTTTCTAGTGCTTGATTTCCAAGTATTCTTTTCATTTAAAGAAAGTAATTAAGAGAAGTTTAAGATAATAGTTGAAAAATTTATAAAGATATAAGTTGTGTGTTGTTAAAAACAATAATTGTTTTGCTAAATTAATTTGTCAAATGAAGTTGTCAATTCAGTAGTAAACAAGTGACTGGTCAGAATATAAGCTGCTGTTATTTAAATAACAATTCTATCTTGGTTTCGGGTTATTAATATAATTGGTGATGGTGGCCACTAGGACGGATATATTTATTTCTGCACAGTAATAGTTGTTTAAAATCAAAACATGATATATCAATAACGAAGTACCAGATACGACAAGTTATCTATGAATATAATATTTGAATCTTAGATGTAAGTCAGGGATTAAATCGTAAAAAGAAAAATAGAAAATGCGTTACTTTTTATATCGTGTTTGCGTTGACTTATTATTTTATAGCTTGTGACATCGTCGTCGACTGTACTGTAAAATACTAATTTAAAAGTATTATTTGTTCATGAAATATAATTGATTAATGTTATTATTTGATAAAAAATAGAACAATTCCCTTTGCCTTCTGTTGATTTGCTCTATATACATCATCAGTTATTATTATCTCTTCGTCTAGATGGCGCCACGGATGTAATTAGTGTGCCATATACCTACTAGATAGCGCTGTTAGAAATAAGAATTATGGTTAGGTCGTAACAAAGTGGTATTACAATTTACCACTAGATGGCGCAATCTTCGAGTACTATATGAGTAACTTTGTATTGAGAAGATGTAAAAGAAAGGCATATCTGCATTTTCAAGGACAAATTCTCCAATTAATCTGATTGATTGAAATCTGAAGATAATTATATCCAACGAATTCGCAGAGAATGATAATTGTTGTATGTGCATCACTAAAGTACAACGGGCCACTTTAATGTTTTGCATAAATTGCATCTCACGTCAAAATTTTGGTCGATTGTTCACTTCTATTGTCTATCTGTTCGTCCTAAATCACACATTTCAAACTCACATGATCATAACATACGTATCTAGTACTACTAACTCACCCTAATAACTAAAAACTTAACTTCGCCCATAAAAGTGTAGCATTTTATACTAAAACACAACACAATATTTAAGTTTATTAACTAGCTCTTTAATAATTACTTGGTCTATTCATATCTCGTAAATCATTTTCCTCAATTTCTACTACTATTTATCATAAAATAATATCATTAATAATGATTCTTGCAAATTCTAGAATGGTCTCTACATTTCATAGGAGAATATTATGAATAGACTATAGTAAATCTTATTCATTTTCCTTATTATTATTAAAATGATGATTATTATTATTTATTTTCATTTTCATATTATCAAAAATAGAGTAACTTTTATGTTTTTCCTTATTTACAAAGCAGATTAACAGTTTAATATTCATGTAGTAATTTTGAATTTATTGTCATAAAGATTTCTTCTCATCTAGATTCTTTTGTTGACCCAATTAGCATACTTTGTTTTAATTTCAGCATTTTCGTATTCGATGTTGTTTTGTGAAAGTAGATATTTTAGCGGACGCTTATTTTTTACGAAAAACTATATTGTTTGTTGGATATTTCAGCTCGGGCATTGAGAACAATCCGACCGTATTCTACCGGCTGATGCCCGGATCGACGGCCCAAACGAACAAATTCCATACTTTTTATTTACAACAAAGAGCCGATAATGGATTTACATGGGCGGATATAAAAGTAAACCATCCACTGGATTACGAAAGTATTAAAGAATATAATCTGACCATTCGAGTTGAGGTAAGACTTGGGTCGTCGTTTTGGTGAAAATTTATGAATTTGTCCATATTTTACTATTATTTACGAATTTTGGATTTGATATTAGTAGTACGCTTATAGTTTCATTCACTATATTATTTTACTATGTTCACCCATCTCTTACATCTATAAGAAACAATCGTTTTACGATTGGTGTTTTAATATATTAGGTATTTCTAATTTATTACGAAGAATATAATATAATAAAATGAGTTAGATTTATGTTACAATAGACACAATATAACTGCTCAATGGATTGTTAGTAAAAATGGCTATTAGAAAATAGTGAAGATGAATTGAAAACAAAATTGAATTATCATTAATTATAGCTTATGTGTGGTGAAACTAAATATGCAAACATTTTATCTCATTGGGTGTCTTGAAAGTGTTTAGAGAACACGAAGGACCAATCAATATTATAGACTCTTATATGTTATTTTCATATTCATTTCTACGCTTTCAGGTTTCTAATTGAGTTTATTTTATGGATATATAATTTTAATATTTTTTATTTTATTTTACACACGCACCATAGATCTTTTTCATATTTCTTTAAAATATAAAATTAAATGTAACAGAATAATGGAGCGCAACAGCTGGCATCTGAAGCTACAGTGTACATAATGTTAGAAGACGTGAACGACGAGATACCACTGTTCACTGAAAGAGAACAAGAAACTGTACTTGAAGGAGAACCTATTGGAACTAAAGTTACACAAGTGAATGCTATTGATAAAGATGGAACATTTCCTAATAACCAGGTAAGTGTATCAAGTGCATATATAAAATTACCTTTTTACTTTTGATTTAAAACTTATTACATACTTCTATGTAAATGTTGCCATAAAAAGAGCATATTTTTACTAATTCAGTAGTAGCAGTTTTCTAAGTAGAGAAGAAATCTAAACGAAGGTTGTTTAAATTCACAAAGTGTTGCCTAATTTTATATACGAGTTCTGAGTACTTATTATAAATGCGAAAGTTGATCTATCTGAGTTTTACGTAATAAAGATAGATTTTATCTGTCAGAGTGACATAGGCTACTTCCTACTCAAGTATGCTATCAACATTTTTTTTTAACGTTGGGAAATGTATTTACGCACGAGGTGTGGAACTCACCTGCAAAGCCAGTACTATCCACTAAAATCCAACAAAACCTTCCCCCGTCTCAATGGGGCGTCGCAGGATCGCTTACGCATTCAATTACGACGGACGCCCCGACGGCAGGTCTGCCGAAGCAGACCACAACAACCATGGGGTTGCTCCAAGGTCCACTCTGTTGTCCACCCGGTTGGATTGCCGGGCACTACTGAGACCCCCCCCCCCCCACCACTACAAGGTGAACGCACGACGTGAATTAATTACTAAAAAAATTCCTGTAATCTGCCTACGCCACTTTGGCTGACAACTTGACATGATTCCAAAATATATACAAAGTCACAAAACGGTCAAGTATTGGGTTATATTTCATTAAGCGTAAGTGAAATAAGCCCTATTTTGTTAATAAAAATGTACAGCCCCATGTAATGTGCTCTCACGAAGCAGGTTAAAACGATTTTAAAAGCTTCATGTTCGGAATTCAAACTGGAAAAAGTTTTTTTTTCTATTTTGCAGCATCACATATTGGCAAAGTTGTTTCATTGAGTTACCTACGTGGAGTATTTTTTATTATATAATATTATGGAATTGCTACATTTACGGTTTTGTGTCAGATTTTAAATAAATATTTTTAATGGTAGATTACAAAAAGTTCCAAATATAACATCAAACATAATATTGTTTAAGTCTTAATTACTTTTATTTTTTGTTAGAATAGTAAAGCTTTTTTGATATTTCAAGGTTTTATTTACACAATTTGTTTGTATATTATTTGGTACTTTAAATCATACGTGGTGATGTATACTAATACAGTGAAGCTGTGTTGGACACTGTGTTTGAATGCACGGATCTCTCAAATGATCAGTCAGATTAGATACAATCATATTTGCGTGAGGGCTATTTAGTAGTAACACGCATTTAGCATATATACAAACTAACTAAGAGAGCGAAGGCGCGGAAGGAGCTAGTATAGTAACAAATGCTAACATTTAAAAATAATACTCCGATAAAAACCTTGAAAGCTCCAGCATCACGAATTATCGTTATACCCAATTAATATGTAAATCTTTCATTTTGCCAGATTGTTACATTTGGTTACTGAAATTAAGAATATTTTGTCAGTATTACTAAATTTAAAAATATATGTATCACTCCTTTATTTTGATTTAATATTCAGTCTCTGTAGTAATTTGGAGTCTAATCAAGAATTAAAAAAAAAAATAAGTACGAATAAAATCAATAGATGGCTTTTAAAGTATCGATTTGGTGTAAAATGAATAAAAGAAAAAGTCTCTAATATACTCATGTATATTTTGAACCACTTCTTATATTTGGCATTTATAATGTCTCCATACGTCCATACGTGTAAGAACGTACTAACTCTATCGAATTTCATACATTCAAACTAATATCTATACTTCCACACAATCCAAAGTTTGTTTGTTTATTTGTTTGTTTGTTTGTTTGTTTGTTTGTTTGTTTGTTTGTTTGTTTGTTTGTTTGTTTATTTGTTTGTTTGTCCTTCTTTCACGTCGAAACAGAGTGACGGATTGGCGTGATTTTTTGTGTGGAGATATTTAGAGGACTGGAGAGTAGCATAGGCTACTTTATATAGAGATTACTTTAATTAGATATAGATAGAGATTTTATCGCGGGAGATTAACTCATTCCCACGGGAAAAACATTATAATACAACCCAAAAAAATATTTATGATCAGAAGAATTACTTGAAACTTAGTATTAATGCTCTTTAGTACAATTAAATAAATACGTGGTTGAGCATTTCTCGAAATTCATCCCATAAGGGGACAAAATAAGAATTTTATGGAACCGACCTTTTTTTTTAGTTTTCAGCTAGTTTATTATAATTATAAAATAAATCAAACCGAGATTTAACAACCATTAAATCTTATTTTATTAATCCTAACTTAGGTTATTTTTTCGGATTGGAACAGTACTCGTTCAATAAATTAAAATATAAACTTTCATAGAAAAGTTTAAATTAATGTAAACCGCTAGATCTGGACTAAGCGGATTAATTAAAGTTACAATAAAGTATCCAACTACAAGGAGATTATGTGAAATTAAAATTAGATTGGAAATCGTTGTTGTGAGATTTGAAATCGTTATTAAGTCTTGGATATGCGTCTACTACAGAAATACCCCCTCAAGCCATGCGCGCCCCCGATGCGTACGATATTATTTAATTTACTACATTTTACCCATGGCTTCGTTCTTATAGTGTCTGCTTTTCTCTGCAATTTGTTAAGTAGTTTTAGTGTAAAAAGGTAACAAAAAAACCGACAGAGTTACTTCACATTTATGTATAATACCTATATGTATGAATACGTATATTACATACGATATTAAAAATATTTTTATCATTTTGTGCTTTGGTATTCTTTATTCAGATCATCATTATATTTTTAGATTTTGATTTTTTGCCATTACAAAATAACAATCTGTAAAATTAATTAACTTTAGACGGGAATAAAGTTATTATTATAAATCGGATTACGGAAACTGTTTGAAATCGGAAAAAGTTCTTTTGATAATATATGATTTATGTAAATCATAATACCGAGTCCATTATTAATTATTACATATAATAATATAAGTAAAGTGAAATAAATTAGAAAAAATAAAGAGGTATTAATATAAATCCCGAAAACAGGTTTCATAATCGAACAAAAGTTTTATTTAATAATTGCATCGTATGAAAAGTTTTAATAATCATAAAAATGGTCTAATGCCCGATTTCACCAACAACCCATGAGCTACCACCTACGTATGGGAGCCCTAGCTTAAAAGTCCCCTAAACTAGCCCCTAAATAAAATTTTGTTTTATAATCGTCTTTAAGCCCATATTTCGAGCACCTAAATTTAGGGGGCCTTTTAATATTTAGGTGTCCCCTACCTGTCGGTGAAACAGAAACTGTCCCCTAACAGTCTCCTAACCATGTTTAGGGGATCCCTTAAACTTAGGTGACGTTGGTTAAAACGGGACATAAAAGTACCTACAACAAAGCTCGCTTATTATTTTCCCAATACCCTTAATTAACGAAACATACACAGTGCTGCTGGAATCAAACAATGTTTATAAATACCACAGCCAAATTATGTATGTATAATGCAGTCACGTTCGTAATATTCAACTGGGCATTAAAATAAAATCCCAATTACGTTGCAATGCGATTGCTATTCGCGATTGGCTAATAATTATGTAATAAATCCTGTATTTGTATTCTGCGGAAACGGTGGTAAAGTATCACTATATTACTATATGGATATGATTTCATTGAAAATTTGCATTGTTATTTAAATAATATGAAGAAAAAATAATTTTAGAGCATTACGTTTAATCATCATCATTATTGCCCGATGTTCAATCCTACAATGATTTATTTTATTTTTTATAATAAAATTATAACTCTGTTGGTACTTTTACGCACATGGCTGTTTTTTTGCATAACTGGGTCCAATTAACATAGGTTAAAGGTACTTCGGTAAGTGAATTGTAGGATTATTGCTACTACTACTACTAAGTATAGATAACTCTACGTTAGACTCTACGGTGTCACTAGTTTAGATTACTGTAATATATTGTACCTATTTATTTATTCTCAAAGATGAGATATTTTCCCGCACTAAAAAGTATCCTACATACTCGTATATGTTGTCCCCGAATAGCCAGTTAGCATTATACCAAATTTCATTAAAATCTGTCCAGTGGTTTTCTCGTGATGCGTTCCCAGGCATTACAAACAGACAGACAACAATTTTAAAAGCTATGTACAATGTACATATATGTTCGGCCTCTGTATCGATAATAATGACTATTTCGATAAGATTTTTCAAAAAATATTTAATGTACATTCGACTCAGTTAAAATTTTATTATATGTATAGACTATCGACTCACCCTCGCTCCGCTCGGGTTGGTTTCTAAACACGTTTTAACAGTTAGAATAGATTTGTTAGAGATATTTTCTCGCAATAAAAAGTATCCTATGCCTTTTTAGGTTATCCTATGAATAACCAGCTATCATCACCATATTTCATCAAAATCTCTGTCTGTATCATGAGAAAACTAATGGTAGTTTTCACATGATACAGACAGATAGACAAAAAATTTAAAATCTATAGATTTGGCGTCTTTATTGATAATGACGACTATTTCAATAACATTTTTCAAAAAATAATTTATGTACAGATATGACTCAGAATCTTATTATACGTGTAGATACTAAGGTACTTTTTGTATTTAACATATATAAATACAATACATTTTATTGACTTCTAGTTACAAAGGGTATGTCTCAGACCTCAGGTGGAGAAAGTCCTCGGGACTATCGATCTGTATTATTCAATTCTTTATACATTCACATTTTTATATATGAAGCCATAGAAGTTTTTAATTTAATCCTAAAAACATATACCTACATGGTTTAAAGGGAGAATTAATAGGTCGATAACGCTGGTTTGGAGATATTACAATTTTTTATTTGCATTTGTATCTATTGATGTTATTTACACAATGTATATTGAGTTTATTTTTTTATGTGAACTTTGATTATAAATTAATATTTGAGCTGAAGGTGTCATACATACTCGTATCTATAAAATAAGCATGTATGAAGGTAATTTACAGTACAATTTATACTATACTTAATATTATAAAGAGGTAAAGTTTGTGAGTTTGTGACGTTGTAGGGGTTAATCTCTGGATCTACTGAACCGATTTAGATGAAATTTAGTAAAAAGATAATTTAAGACCCTGGGAAGGACATAGGATACTTTTTATCCCGGATATTATTCCTTAAGGGGGTGAAAACGGGGATGTGAGTTTGTATGGGAAATCAAGCTAGGGACCAGCCCAAGCGAAGCGAGGGTGAGTCGCTAGTGCTTTATAAAATCTCAGAGTATATTTACGATGTATATAAAAAAAACTAATAGTTATAAAAATCGTCTATTAAAATGTTAAATCATCTCAACTGGTTATCCTATTTATATGGGACGTCTTATACATATAGTATAATTAAACCGAGTTTAGTTTACCTTATGTTGCTTTAAATATCCACGTGTAGCAGATTATGTTAGATGACATATAAAGCTTGGTGTTTACATGCACCACACATTTACATACTACAGGCTTTACGATATTCCCAGGGATCGTGAATACTTAATTTTAATCACATACCTCCATCGTGTTGCTGATATTGATGATATACCCTCGCTAACCTAATTAGAACTGTTTCACAGTAACTTGGCTAGCATTGAGTTAATTATTATTAATACTATTAAGTAATTGACCTATTTGTAACGGACGTAAGGTGGGATCAAAAGACGACAACTATGTAAGAATTGTTGATCGTGATTGTTCAGCAAAAGTACTCTACTTTATTTTTAAGCTAATGAATATTAGTTTTTATAAATGAGTACATGTTATTGAGTGCTCGTTAATTTACAAAAAATATACGTCGTTATTTGGCAAAGTTTATAGCAAGTAAATGCAGTGGTAGCCCAGTGGTAACGCGCTCGCTTGGGAAACCGAGTGAAGCGGGTTCAAATCCCGGGTCTCGCACCTCTGATATTTTCATGTGCGAATCATTTCGAACATGATTACCACTTGTCTTAACGGTTTAGGAAAACATCGTGAGGAAACCTGCATGTCTGAGAGAACCTAGCAAGTTTTCAAAAGACATGTGAAGTCCGCCAACCCACACTTGGCTAGCGTGGTGGACTACGGCCTGATTCCCCTCGTACTGAAGGGAGGCCCGCGCCCAGCAGTTGGACGTTAAAAAGGGCTGAATACATACATACATACAAAGGAACTTTTAGAATCAATATTGATCCAATAACCGTACGAAAAAGGGTTTTTGTGTCTAATTAAAAAGGGTTTATTTGGAAATACAATTAATTTTATATGAAATTGACGTTTGACACCGTTTAAAAATCATCAAATTTCATACGTATATTCCTATATATATATATTTTCATTTTGCTATATGGGCATACGAGTATATAATATGTTACATGTATTAAAACACGAGTACAAACGTCTAAAAAATCTAATTTGTTTTTTGCTATTCTAATGCCTTCCGAGATGTTGTCTTAAACAAATTTATATTTTTATTTACTGTTTATTAATTTGAATTACCGTTAGGGAAATGAAATTATATTGAGGATATTTTATAAACGGCTGTATAAATCTGGGCATTAGATTAAAATATTAGTTACCAGAGACTTGCCTTCGCTTCGCTTGGGTGCCTTATGATTTTATATAATAACCAGCGACTCACATTCGCTTCGCTCGGGTTCGTCCCTAGCTTATTTCCCCATACAAACTTTCATCCCCATTTCACCCCCTTAAGGGATTATTTCCGGCGCAAAAAGTATCCTATGTCCTTCCCAGGGTCTCAAACTATCTTCTTACCAAATTTCATCTAAATCGGTTTAGTAGATCTAGAGAATACCCCCTACAATGTCACGAACTCACAATTCACAATTAGTTAGGTTAGTATGGAATAGATCACTCTCCAGCCTTCCGACTATTACCACATAAAAATCACGTCAATCCGTCGCTCTATTTCGACGTGAAAGAAGGACAAACAAACAAGCACATTCTCACATTTATAATATTAGTATGAATATACAGACAACACCACCTTTTGGTAAATTTTACACTTATAATGTCCTATATGTCACTCTTAAGTCATAGTGTATCTGTATATGCATGTATTCATCTAAATCCGTACAGCTGTTTCAGTGAAGGAGTAACAAACATACTCACACATAAAAACTTTCGCATTTATAATTAAAAAAAGTAGCCAAAAATATTGTAAAAAAAAGAAACACTTTCACCATCAAATAAAAATAAGTCCGTATTGATTAAATGTAAGATGAGATATTTTTCTTTTTACGTAGGTGTACTACTACATTGTGGATTCACCTCGGAATGAGGGAAAGGATTTCTTTGAAATCAGCATGCAGACGGGTGAAATCTTCACGAAAGTGGTGTTCGATAGGGAGAAGCAGGGTGCCTACGCATTGGAAGTAGAGGCAAGGGATGGAGCACCCTCGGCGCGCCCTAATTCCGATAACCAGCCCAATTCAGGTACGTTTTTGTTAACATTAAAAAGAGAGACTTGGATTTATGTAATGTTCTTTTAGGACCAATGAAAATGTTATCGTGTAATTGATTATTGTGTAGTAGGTATAGGAACTTTTGTTGTGTAGTAGTCAGTATATATAATATACGTAGGTAAGTTAGAAGTAAGAAATCTTTTTGGATATTTCGAGATATATTATTCGATTGTTGTTATACAAATAGACATTGAAGTTATAAAAGGACGATTTTATTCAAACTTCTATTGGATATTATCAGCATTAAATCATTTTTAGGGTTTCGTACCTCAAAAGGTAAAAAAGGAACCCGTATAAGAATCACTCTCTTGTCCGTCTGTCTGTCTGTCCGTGTGTTACCACCGATTTTCTTAGGAACGGGTGGACCTAGCAAGTTGAAATTTATACCAGATACTGAAGTTTATAGTCCCTATTAGGTGTATAAAAATCAAGATCCTGAGTCAACACGATAAAAAGATATGGGCAAATATAGATTTTCGTGAAAACTTGTAAGTACCATTTACCTTAATTTTCAACTTTTTTATTTTTTGGAATTTTCCCTTTGCTTGTACTGTAAAACCTAGCTTTTAAACAAAATTGACAATTCTAGGTCAACCGGAAGTACCCTTATAGGTTTTAGGTCGAAAACCTATATGGTAGTCCCCGTTGACATAGAATCACGAAAGGCCAAAAGTATGATCTTACAGCACAAATAAAGGAAAAAAAAAAACAAAAAATAAAAAAAGTTGAAAATTGAAGTTTAAACAGATTTCCTACAAAGTACGGAACCCTCGGTGGGCGAGTCCGACTCGCACTTGTCCGGATTTTTTTTGTTTAGAAAAGCAAAAATAGAAAATAAACAGTAACATAAATAAACAGTATTCTTAACACTCCGATGAAAATATGATTTTAGTAAGTGTGCAAAATGACCTTGACCTAACTAAAAAGGTTTTATAAAAATATTTCTCTTTTAATATTATATAGCTTCTATTTGAATACTCATCTTCATAAAAAATAACTTACTTAGAGATAATTTGTACTTAATTAGAACCATCTTAGTATTTATGAAAATTATAATCTGTAATCTATATAAATTAACTTAAAAACATCACTATTTTACAGTATAGGTAAGTAGATTACTAAAAAAAAATGCAAGAAGGGGAAGGTTCGGGCCGTAGTCCATTACATTAGTCAAATGTGGGTTGGCGGTCTTCACACGTCTTTAAATTAACTATGTAATACTTTCTTAGATTTACGCGAATGTTTGACATTTTTAAATAAAACTATGTTTTCGGATTATTTAGAGACTGAGTCTCTCCCGTGACCATGGATGCTGTAAAGCATTCGAAACGTCGGGAACCAAAAATCAAAATAAATCCGCGAAATAATCCGAAAAGATCGTTTTATTTAAAAATTAACTATGTAGTTAGGTTCGTTTAGTTTACTTCTCATGAAACATTGATATGAATAACTAGCGACTTTTATCCTTGCTTCGCTCGGGTTCGTCCATACATAGGTGATAGGTATCGTATGTCCATAGGTATGATGTGTTTTATATCCCTAACTTAAGAAATCATTCATCCCCATACAAACTTTCATCTCGCTTTTCACCCACTTAAGGAATGATTTCCAGGGTAAAATCTATATTTTGTCCTTCCCAGGGTCTCAAACTATCCCAATACCAATTTTCATCTAAATCGGTCCAGCCGTTTAGCCGTGAAAACAAACAAACAGAGTTACTTTAGCATTTATAATATTAGTATGGATTCGTATTAGATAAAGAAATATGTATATTATAAAAATAAAAGGCCCGACTGCATAAAAGCTAACTAAAAAGATAACAACAAGTTCACGAAGGAATATAGTTCATTTTTTTATTTACAGCTTTTTAGTTTTTGCCAATTAGACATTTGAAGTTATATATAGCACTTTTATATCCTAAATTACTTTTAAACATATAAGTTGTAACTTGTAATTATATTTTTATTTTTTAAGTATTTTTAAGTAGGAAAATTAGCGAAAATGGTTGTTGACCAACTTTAAATCATTATAATATATCCTAAACTGTTATTTAAAATGAAAAATGATAAAAAAAACCTAAAAATGATTTCTAAATACGTCTTCAATGATACCCCACTTGACATAGTTTGTTGATTTTCATTTTTTTCTTTTTCACATTATGACATCCAAAATCGGCCATTTTAATTTTTCCAAATTTTTATGCTTTCTATCATATTTGCTCCGTCATGACAAATCAAACGACGTATCATTTATCAAAATCGGCTCACGGGTTTGGTCTAAATAGTGCCACAAATATACAAACCCACATAGATACATACATACATACATAGGCTGATAAACACATACCCTCCTTTGCGTCGCGCAGTCGGGTAAAAATAGACGAATCAAGTTGAAAACAAGATAATAAATATCAATGTGAGACTTGAGATTTGAAGTCGCTTCACTTGATTTTTCTGGCGAACACACAAACACAGCTTTGCATTTCTATATAATAAATTATCTATTATTGTTCAAGATTTCAATGATTATTTACAATATGCAAATCAGACAAAAGGGCAGAGAATATTGTTACAGACAGACTTATTATGAAAACCATATTAAAATGAATGAGAAATATTTATTTCACGGATGTCTAAAAGCAACTCAAATAATTAAGATAATATTATTGTTAATATAATGGGATTGCTCTGCTAGTAATAATCCAATTCATGATAAAATTCTGTATTTTCTAAGCTTTTTCACTAAAACGAGTTAAGAAATATCTTTTAAATTAACTTGTACTGAAAAAATGAGGGTATTATTTTGGTGAAATTATTGAACGATAAGAAAAAGATATTTTCTTATATTATTACCGAGAGGTAAATGTGTGCGTCTATATTATATGATGTTAAATGTATAATTTGTTTGTATCTCTTTGTTTATATATTTTAGAATCCTATATTACCCTAGAACACTGAACCCTATTTCTAAGCTTAGGCCCTATGAAGGTTTTTACTTTTTACATCGTACCTTGAATAGATCAATATGTCATTACAATTAGGTAACCAGTTGTTATAGCTGCTTATTTAGGAAATAAAAAAATAAGAAATAATTAAAGGTCACCCTTCAAGATTTTTTTTTCTTTACGTTTTATTCTGTAGTTAAATCAATAATACATACAAGCTTTAAACTTTACTGGCTCTACAAATACTTAATGAAAAGCCTATTTTATTGGTAAATACATAAATTTAATGTATTGTGCGTTGGTGCGAATCCCTCGGTCCATTAGCATTTTGTCGTTTTTTTTATAATGTTATTGTAAAAAATGGTTTTAATTTTCCTTATCATTCCTACGACTCTTTAAGAATTATCTATACCGAATCTGATTTTGGAAATAGAATTAAAGAAAAAGTTTATGTATAAAATTAGCATTGTTTATTCTTAGCATACAGTTTTACTTACTTTCATTCTTTTAATTTCAACAATAAAAATATTTCATCCAAATTCATCCAGCCGTTACAGTGTGAAGGAGTAATATAATAAACATGCATACATAACATAAAAGTAGTCCGATTATATATTAGTCAGGCATAATATTTTAATGTTAATGCTGACAGTAAAAAAGGCAATCTAAAAGCAGACTAACAAAAGAAACCTTTAAAAGGTTAAGAGGTGTCAGTAAGCAGCGCACCGCTCCTATTCTCGAGCTAATCACTACTGTGATCCGAATTTAAATGACCATTTTCCTGTAAACATTCTTCGTTTGTTTTTGTCGAATTTTTCAATGGTTGTGTTTAACAACCTTACCAACCCTTTTCTAATGTTGACAGATAAAGGTCCTTATATACCTATATCTCACTATTCTCTAAGTCATGTATAGATTGTGTTAGTACACTTGAGTCTATAAATTGTCCGATTTTGGTAAACCCTTTATTAGGTAGGCAAGTCGGCACTGCTTAACCGTATCGCGTGGTCGTAAATCAAGCAGGAGCATAATCAACCACCGCCTGAAACGTAATCCTATGTTAAGCTTCTCATCCCTATATCTGTCTCGCGTGCACAATACCTAGCTTTAGATCAGCGCTGCTTACATAGTTCGTGTACTATACAATTACCTTAATGTATCATAAATACATAGCATCTATACGACCCTATAAAACGGAAACCTAACTACATTCCGATCGTAAAACCATACCCGTTATCTTTGTTTACTGCTGCTATACAAACAACGTCGGCAACATCCACGTTTGATATTTACTCGAAGCGTTTATTTGCTCATGAAATTATCAATTGATTTTATTGACGAATTTACGCTAAAGTAAAGCTACTCATCAATCTATGTTTCGCACTGAACGTATAGCACACTAGCATTGCCCGCGGCTCCACCCGCGTTCAGATGATCAAAAACCAAATTCTTAAGTTTTACATATTAGTATACTCTTATATTGCAGTTTTTGTATTTTTTTCTCGAAAATGAGATATTGTCCCGCGGTAAAAAGTATCCTATATGTTGACCCGGGTAGCCAGCTACCATCATAACAAATTTTATCAAAATCCCTCCAGTGGTTTCTCTCCCTCCCTCCGTGATGCGGTAACAGACAGACAGACAGACAAAAATTCTAAAAACTATATATTAAGCCTCTGTATCGTTAATCATATCTATTTCAATAAGATTTTCCGAAAAATATTTAATGTACAGATTCGGCTTAGTTACAATTTTATAATATGTATAGATTAACATCTTTTAGTCACTAAAGAAATTATTATGCTTATTTCAACAAATATATTATTATTTCTTTATAATACAAGTTATATTCCTCGCCGTGTAGATGAAGTGTTTTCTTAAATTAAAATAATAATAAATTTTTATCAATAGCTCATATAAAATTTATGAAGCAAATATTTTGTGTAAATAAACGTTCACATTTTGTCATATAATAAAATGTGATAATATTGTGCAAAACGTTGTTTTTAACCTTTTATCAAAGTATACTTGCTAAAACAATTCAATATTAATATGTACGAGTATGCTGCATTTGCAGCGTCCACTAAAGACATTTACTGACTAGAATACACAGTGTTACTAGTTGTAATATGATTAAAATTAATCGGACTGCGCGAAATCAAGTTTAATTAATGCATGTATGTACATAATATGTCGTTGGTGCATATGCACATTGTGAAGGAGCTGTGTCTTGTATCGTGTTAATAGGCACACACGCTTTGTCCGGCCCAATCACATCGATATCGATATATTGACTAACTAGACTACCAATGAGACAATTGTTGTAAATCTGACTATATTCTAAAAGGTATGTTACTATGTAATAGTAATGTAATGCAAGCTCTCAAAAGTAGATAAAACCGTATAAAACAATTTATTGAGTGATTCAATAAAAGAATGTTATGTCGAGTACGTAAATGAAACACGTAATGAATTTTTCAATATTATTTGTTGAAACAGATTTAAAATGACCATCTAAAATGAATTTAATTTCATACTTTTAGCGTTCTTCATCGTTTTTTAAATTGGAAAATTGATTAGACAGGGTTCGGCCACAAATAAAAACAATGAGCGTAATCATAATAACGAAGGAGCAAACGTTAGACTGGTTCTCTGTTCGAGCTTCGTTTAATGTCTACGGCGGGTCTAAGAAATTCTCGTTCCCTTTTTATTGTGTCAGCTCCTTTTCTATGTCTTTTGTGGTACCCACTCTCATTCGACCCACGCGCTCCAATACTGTAGTTACGACTTTATTTTAATTGACTCGCCGAAACTTTTTATTAGAAGTTTTGCAAAATTGTTGTTTTCACAGGATTATAATTTGATATGGCTACTGCAATTTTGAACTATTTCTAATTACTTTAGCATGGATTTATTTAATTTACAGAAATCGTAAAATCCAGCTTACGATTAACACAGTGTATTATACGTATATGACACGTATCTATGTATGTGTAGCTATTTGTTCCACTTTACCGATAGTGCGGAAAGTTTTAGGTCTTACTCCCTTAATTCGGCAGCCATTGAAGATTTATGTAACTTTCTGGGATGAAACTGAACTTTTGTGATTTATCGAGGACTCACATGATGATAGATTGAATTTTGTTGACGCTGTAAATTGGCCTTTTTAATTATTTTTTTGTTATTCTATTAGAGCCAAAGTGAACTAATAAGAAAACATTTATAAAAAATGAAGCGATATTGTCGGAGTTATTTCAACTATTTTCAATTACTTGGACTTAGGGAGTGCGATGTCGCCAAGTGACAAAGCAATATTCCCGTGCGGGCGGCGTGCGGCGGGCGGCGGGAACTTCGTGGCCTACATTTAGCGCGCCCTCGAGAATCCGTGATGAGGGCGCGCTCGAGTGCACTGCTTGCCGGGGATTACTGTCACGAACTACTAAATATTGCTGTTTGTTGTCTAAGCTTTACTTGCCACGGTCTCGCAACTACAACTTTTACTGCTAATCATTAAAGTTAATCCTATCGATAGTTCCAACTAACAAAAATACAAATATAAGAGTATCTACTGAAATAATTTTGATCAACTTTTGCTATTTTCATATCGAATATATAAGATTATTTATACAGTAATATTATATCATAAAACCAGTGAAAACTCTTATGATTCTTAGATAGAATTATTTTGGCTGAAAAGTGTTTATCGGTTAAGCTGCTTTACGAGTCTAATCAGACAAGACTAATGTATAAATATTTAAAGAAAAGATTTTTGGTTTAGATTATTTATATTTTTTCGGGTTTACAGCAGTTAATGGTATAATGTTTCTACTAGTAATCTGTTAGAAATTTTGCGTTACGCTTAAGTTTAATTTAAATTCTATGGTATAATAGTATATTTATATAGCATTAAAATAAAAATAAAATACTTACCTAGTTGCTTTTTAGATTAAGGCGGATTTTATTCATTTTATCTTTAAAGGTCACTTCTGACATACTCTGCTATTGTTGATCATTATATCTGATCAAGTAAGGTTGAAAATGGTATATAAAAGGAGCAAGTCTGTATAAATATAAATATTATAAATGTGAAAGTTTGTATGTATAGATGTTTGTTACTCTTTCACGCCGGAACGGCTGAACGGATCTAGATGAAGTTGGGCACAGAGAAAGATTATAGTCTGGAATAACACATAGGCTACTTTTTATCCCATCCCAGAAAAAAATACGATTCCTGAGGGATAGATTTGCTTTTTTTAAAGGCAAACCCGAGGGAAGCGAGGGTGAGCCGCTAGTATGAAATAAATTAAATTAAATCTCATTTCATTCAACTCTTTTTAACGTCCCATGGCTGGGCAAGGGCTACCTTCGCATTGAGAAATACGTAAGGGAACAGGCCACACTCTCAGATGCAGATTTCTTCACAAGGTTTTCCTTCAAAGTAGAGCTAGTGGTAATCATTTTGAACGTGATTTGTATATGAATAATATTTGAATATACCTAATGATGTGTAAATATAAATATGAGGTGCCAAACCCGGGATTTGAACCCACATTACTTTATTATCCAAGCGAGTGTGCTACCATTGGGTTGCCACTGCTTTGATTATAATATATTTACTAAATAATTCCATTTGAGGGGTTTGTTAGGCGAACTTAATGCAGGAGATGATTAGCACAAATAGAGAAATTTCATATCACAGTTACTTTCAGAAAAGCTTAGATTTGTATATAATTTAATATAACTGTACCGTAATATAACCGTTTCTTGAGTGAAATTCAAATAATATATGTACATACAGGTATGTCTGAAGTACAATTTTATTACAGGAACCTTTTAGTTGTTTCACAAATCACAACTCTTCTTTGTATGTATTATTATTACAATTTAATCATGATGATAATATTGTCTTGCGTTTTATTTTTTAAGGTCGTGTTTTTCGGAAAAGTTGTGGTTTTTTTCAGAAAGTACACCTATATAGATAGATTTAAAAAGCCAAACTCTATCTAAATACACAATATAATACAAATCTTTAGACCCGTTTCCGAGATACGCGAAATCTATACTAATATTATAAAGAGGTAAAGTTTGTGATCTTGTGAGTTTGTGGGTTTGTGAGTTTGTGAGTTTGTGAGTTTGTGACGTTGTAGGGGGTAATCTCTGGATCTACTGAACCGATTTTCAAAATTCTTTTACCAATAGAAAGCCACGTTCTTTCTGAGTGTCATAGGCTATATATTAACCCGAAGAATGAAAAGGCTTTTTCGTGGTAGTCGGATTTTCAAAGTAAGTCGGAGAAAAAACGGTCGAACGAAAACGTTTCTTACGAACGCTGCCTTAACGATGAGAGATACATGATTATGTTCTAGAGAAAAGTTGTAGAGCTTAATAATGCCTACAAAAAAGTCAGCGACAGCATATGTCTAACTTTTATATTTAAGTCACAAAAAGTAGTTTTTTATATTAAAAAAATAATTTAAATCGGTAGGTCATGTTTATTGGTCATATTATCAACAATTATGAATTCTTATCAAAATAAATAAATTTATCGTCTAAAATGTTTAAAACAAAAGATTTTTCCCTTTTACTGCATATAATTTGGACAAATGGTTAAAGAGATAATACAACATATTCGTAGGTATGGACGAACCCGAGCGAGCTGTTTGTCTGTTTTCCTGTTTGTACGGGCTAATCTCCGAATCTATTGGACCGATTTAAATGAAATTTTGCATGGTGGTACCTTATATCCCTGGCCAACATCTTAGATACTTTTCATCCCGGAAAATTAAATAGTTTTCGTGGGATAGTTAAAAAACTATAACAACTTATACATCTTAGTACACAAAAACTACTGATTGGATTTTAATGAAACATTACAATAATATAGTTCATACATAACAAAAACAAATCAGCTACTTTTCATCCCGGATAATTAAAGAGTTTCCGTGGGATAGTCAAAAAACTATAGTAACTTCTACAGCTTAGTACACAAAAACCACTGATTGGATTTTGATGAAACTTTACAATAATATAGTTCATACATCAGAATAACAAATAGGTAACTTTTTATCCCGGAAATGTAGGTTCTATCGAATTGTCCTTAGAAATTTATACTCAACCTTAAGAGATAGATCAAAACATTGTACAAGGAAATTGTAAGTCTTAAAAAGGTCTATAGAAAAGTTCTACATAGTATATGTCTATCTCCTAAGGTACACTCGCTATAACTATTTTCATTATTAAAATTGCTAAAACGTTTCTAGAGGTGAACCCGAGCGAAGCGAGGGTGAGCCGCTAGTTTTATATATAAATACACAAGAATTTCTCATTTCATATTATAAGATAGTAAAAGAGTATTAATAGTAAGTTGCTTCCCCATACAAACTTTCATCCCCATTTACACTCCCTTAAGGGATGATTTCCGGGATTAAAACTATCCTATGTTATTTCCAGGGTCTCAAACTATATTTTTACCAAATTTCATCTAAATCGGTTCAGTATTTTCGGAGCCTATTCCGTACAAATAAACAAACAATGAAAACTTTCCTCTTTATAATATTAGTATAGATTACTGGAATGTGTTATCATACATGTATTTAGATTCTTAGAAGTCATGTAAATAATTTGTCAATCTATTCAAAAAGTGCTCTCTTCTTCGATCATCGGCCTCTTTCTGATATGAAAAATAAAATTTTAATGTTTATATAATTCAATAATAGTTTCTTAGTAATATTTGATTTCAGTAATTATCTAGAAATTTGTTAAAGTACTCAAATCGATCTTAGTATGACACCAAGTGCTTCTTTATCTTTCGAATTCTGAGCGACTTTATTTTGCTCTACTTGTTAAAGGCAATGCCAACTGTGCGCAACGCTAATTTATTTTAAAATGTTCGTGACCGCTGCGATGGTAACTTTTTGTACTTAATGTTTCAAGAATAAAATCTATTTATTATTCTTTACCATCTTTATGGGTTATTTCGCCATTTACAGCCCTATAAGTACACTCCTATTTAGTTACTGAGAGATAACGTGACATTTTAATCAAAGCAAGAAATAAAAACCCAAAAAACGTTCTCTAAAATATATTTAAAAAAAAAAAAACGTAGAGACGATTCTTTGTCAGAGATCGCTTCTTGGGTAATGGATGTAGAAAAAGATAAAAGACCCTTTTATTACTTCTTCAAGTAAATCTAAGTCAAGCTATTTAACAATATCTTAACAATATAAAATCTTCATCGTTTGAGTCTCTCCTGTGTTATTAATGAGGTGTTGTCTTAATATCTCGTAGAATTCGCAAAAGTTATGTAAATTTTAGAGCTATTTAATTAGACTAGAAAAATAATAGTACTACTTTTGCACCTGAAAAACTCATAGTATGTTTGCGTGAATTGTTTAATTACTTGAGAGTATATTTTTAAAATGCATATTTGATTTTTTCTTGGTGGGTTAAAGCTCGCTCCCTTAGTTTTTCTCTGCATCTGTCACACTTCAAAAGACTTGTTCACTGTCTTAAGTAGGCATTAGTAATACAACATTTCTATATTATAACTAGCGACTCTCCCTAGCTTCGCTTGGGTTTGTCCCTTGGTACGTTTTAACTGTTAGTTTGGAATAGATAGACTATATATATTATATGATATATAACTTGTTAAACGGACTATCTAATGCAAAAAGCTTTTTTTAAATCGGATTAGTAGTTCCTGAGATTCAAAGAAACATACAAGCAATATTATATATTAATAATTTCATTATTTAAATGCGATACCTTTGCTAATGTCTCAACATTTTACTGGGGCTGGGACTTTCCAAAAACCTATTCATGGACCAAGATAAAAGTGACCTATGTATTTTTTTTGTTTCATAGGCTTGATAAATATTTAAATTTCATTACATCGGTCGGCTTAATAAAACTAGAGGAAGCAGAAACCTTATGCACTACCATATGTACATGTTATATATGTAGATAAACTATACATTTATTTTATTAGTTATACTCAGTATATTGACAAATAACACCGAACGTTGCATTTAAAGTGTAATTTTGCTCTCTATATTGTAGTTTATTATCATGTGCTGATTATTATTTAACTTAACATAATCTTACATTAAAATATGTACATGATTTTATATATTAAAATATGTTCAGTCTCTCCCGTGACCATGAATGCTGTAAAGCATTCGATACGTTGAGAATAAAAAATGAATGAAGTTTTATTTAAAATGGCATATATTCGCGTAAATCTAAGAAAGTATTATATGTAGGTACATGATTATAAGAAAAACTAGACATTTATTTCTCAAGTTAGCGATAAGTAAAAATTTCGGTATTCAGTAGTTAATAAATAAAAGTAGTAATTAATAAAAGT